ATATATATATATATATAAGCAGCATTTTCACTCAACTGTGATGTAATTACAGTTTGTCTTGGAAACAATATGTGTTGTTTGAGAAAGCAACACCAATAATTATCGAGTCCCCTTCTGGCATTATAATAACACAGCTGAACCCTGCCAGGGAACGACAGGGTTAGATTATTGTAGATAGCGCTCACACAAACACAGCTGACAGAGGAAGACACAGACACAGGCAAGCACGCACACACTAACACACCCTTTAACACCACCAGCATGGGCTAGCTGACAGAGCTGCTGGGGTAATTGGTGTTATTATGCTGTCTGAAGCTTTGTAGAGGTAAGTTAAAGACAGCACCAATAGGTATTCAACAGCGGAATAGTGGGGAAAAGAAAAACTATTTAAAAGCACGTTTCTCTACAGGGCTCCACTGACTGCGATAGTAATTATTACTATACATAAAGAACTATAGCACATATGAGGATTTACTCTACTTGTTATATTATATCTGAAGATGACTAGCAGAGGTTAGTAGTAAACAGGAACAATAGTATGCAACATACTGGCCATAATCTCATTGTGAATAAACTCTTTGTCCTTGAATAATCTGTTTCCTCTGCTCATTTTTAACAAATACATCTGTTCCGCTGTAGAAATGACCCTTGCCTGTGAGAGTGTGGGTGGCTGACTGTTTTCCATTGCTGGACACTGTGGTGTGTTTTCTTTTCTATCTGTGCTGCCTGTTGTTTTGTTCACTGACATGACACAGCCTCATCACGTAACACATGACGACCACACCGAGGAAAGAACACACCTGCTACCCTTTAGTATTAAACACACGTGACCGATTTTCCATCATTGCCCCAGACTGTTTGTCAAAGCCTGGGCACAAATCAGACAGACTGCACACACATACTCTCCCACTCATACACAGACTAACTCTCACAGGAATACCTGGGGAAGTCGTCATCCTGCCACTCGTCCTTCACTTCCATGCTGTCCATGCGTAAAGTAGCCTCTGTTGTACCCATCATCTGCCAAGAAGGACGGGCTTCAGCTCACTGAGGCTGACAAACAGATGAAACAATGCCATTCAGTAGGAAACCAAATGTTAAAACATATATACTTAAAGCTGTCTTAAAGGGGAACTCCACCCATTTTTAGACATGTTACTTAATCCTGGTGAAATCATCAGGATGATGTGAATTTTGACTTGAGACTTTGGACTTGCTACATAAAGTCTAGGTTACAAACTAAATGTCTGGAGTTTGAAAGACGTGAGTGTGTGCCAAGCAGAGAGGGTTTAATGAAAGACACTGCTTGAAACATGGGAAATGTAGTACTTAGTGCTTTTGGAGTGGAACACAAAACTTTGTATATCTCAGTGTATTGTCCTTCAGTTCTGATCATCATTTTTCAATCAAAATTTTTTGATTTTGTCAAAAGTTTAAAACCTGTTATTTCATCCACAACATCCTTTGGTCAGTGAGTTCCAGGTCATGCCATCAGGCTGATGTCTTTGGGCCTCAAGAACTAAAACTAACAAACATAACAAATTTGACATCTGATAGTTGGAATATACAGGACAACAACGATAAAATCTGCAATCTCCAATTCTCAAGTGCAGTCCTGGGTAATTGCTGCACAGTTAGGGTTAGAGTAATAAAAAGCCACTGGGTTTTCCTCCCCTACAACCCTGTGGGAGGACACAAAAATAAAACATCACATTGCTCATATAGCCCTTTAGGGAAATACAAGCAAATCATATAAGCTGCCACAAGGCCAGCAGTGATCTACATTTATTACACAACTGCATCAGAAAGTCTCTAGCCAGCACTGCATGTCCTTTTCTTGGTATCGTATGTAGTGTGATGCTGGACAGTGTCCCATCTTTAGGGATGCCATACAAAGATCAGTCATGCACAATGGGGGCATCACGTGTGTGTCTCATATCGAAACTGTGCATAACCTGAAACCCTATTCCAGTCAGAGTTTATGCTGCAGCAGACGTTAGAGCAGTCCATGACACTGATGTGTTATAGCGAGACACATCAGAGCCCATATGAAAAAGGAACTGTGGACTAAAAAGCACAGGACCTCAGGCTGCTGTGTTGTAACTGGGTTTTACAAGATAGATGAGAGTGGTAACGTGTTTACAGGGAATCCATCTAATGAGAAAGCTGCATTTTTTATGAACGTGATGAAGAATTCTTTAACCTCAACTTTAATAAAACTCTTCTGGCTAAATCACAAGTTGAGTCACCTCCCTCTGTTCTCACACTCAGATAATCCTTTAAAAAGGAGGCTGAAACAAACTGACTATTTTCCCTGCTAGATTATAAACAAACAAGGCCTGAGAAAAAATTGGAAAATTCACATGGAAACAGTAGATTGGTGTGTGGTTTGTTGTCGGTACAGATGTTGTTGCCAGGGCTCAGCTGAACTCATGACTGACACAAACTAATGTCACAGCAGCCCATGTTTGGCAAGGATTTGTGTCCAAATGGCAGAGCAGCCTTCGTTTCCTAAACTCTTTTGAGCTATTCACTGCAATCTACTGTACGTTTAAGCAAACACCTATTACTCTGACTCAGATATGGAAAATAAGTTGCTGCAAATGTGCAAGATGCAGATGCTATACTTGTGCTTATACAGTAGGCAAAATATACAGTAAGTGAAGCAGCAGAGCTTCCACTTAAGTAAAACATCACAGTGTTCTGTCCTCTATTATAAAATCATTTACATGGCTTGCAGCTTAAAGATAAGCATCAACAAAGCCACTGTTATCACAGCTCATCTGATCGCAATCTACAGGCAAGCAGACAGTGATGTCAAAAGCCTTTAAGGGCAGTCAGTCAGATTTGATTGATAGTGACCAACTAACCTCAAAAAGTCATCTGAATCTGATTCAAATTTCCAGATACTTCAAACCAGTAAGAAAGGCACAGAGACATAATGAAATGCATAAATATTGTATAGTATTGTAATAAATAACCAAGAATGTTTTAACTCTGGCTAAAAATGGCAGGATCCTAGTACTTGCATTAAGAGGCTGATTGAAAAGACTCATTTACAGGGTCTTTATACAGTATGTGTCTAAAAGCAGAGAAGCTATTAGACACAAGTGACATCCTTTACTCATCTGAAAAATAAAAACAACTGAACCAGAAGCAGAAAGAAACAGCCATAAATATTATGTCACTGATTGTGAATTTGCCCTTTGTGCCTGATACAGTACAGGTACAAGCTGCCCAGAAGAAAATCACTTGATCCAGCTGTAATTAGAAAACGTCATGACTGATGTAAACGGCAGGGTACTTACATACTATAATTAGGAAGACTTCCTCTTTGCTGTTTTGAACGCTTCCCAGTTTTTCTTCCAGATTCTCCTTTTGGTTTTGCGTCCTCCTTCTTAGAGCTGCCTGAGCAGAGTGAGGGTCATGACTGTTTACATCTGCAAGTGGGACACCTATGTGCTCAGAACCTGGGATGATGAATGATGCTTACAGTTTCCTGATTCTGCTGATGAAGACAGAGAAATCGTGTCCTCCTATGTGGAGGAGAACGGTTAGGAGAGTCAGGATCATCACACAGCAAACACAATCCTGCTGTCATCTCTTCAGTCTCCTCTGCCAGTTACAACCCACGCTGCATTTTGGGCAAAAGATAATCCTCACCCTGTGATTTTAGCTTGTCCCATTCTGACCAGTCTCTCTCTCTCTGCCGCATATTTACCTCTGCTTTTCTCTGCTGAATTCCCCCCTCTACCCTCATCCTCTCCACCCCAGGCTCTAATCCTGCTGTGATGATGTCACCCCTATGGGAGCGTGTTATGATGGTTATGTAATCACACATGTCTACCTTCTCTTTGGCTGCTCGGAGTCAGGATCAGCTGTTTTTCTCCTCCTTGCATTCAGTCCATTTTGCATCCATGACGGAGCATGTTTTTTTCCTCCTATGAGCTGGAAAAGATGGACGTTCTACTTCACCACTGTTCCCTGGCAACAGCATCTTCCTCCCTCACACATGCTGTTTCTCTCTCTCGCTTTTTTCTCACCATTTCTTTTAAGCTCTCTCACCCTTGATGAAACCCCTCCTTCAAATGAATTCCCCTCCTCTGTTAGCTGTGATGCTCACACCCACCATTCTCCCCCCTCCCTCCTCACATCTGCACTGAGCTCTGGGTGATGTCAGTAAGCACAGTCACATCTCTCCGGCATTACACTCAAGTACACTGGGAGCAGTCACAGTTTCCTATTCATCTCCTGCCACTGACTGCTTGACAACAACATGCATTTTGGGTGTTGTTACAGTTTTCTATTATTAACGCTACTTTGCACAGCACTGAAATAGTCAGATTCACCAAGACATGTGACTAAAAGCATTTGCTTTCCCACAGAACAAGTACAGTTGGCAGAAGGTGAATATACAGTAGACAGCTAAACCAATTTTACTATTGACTTTCTTGCCACTAGATGGTGATAGAGTGTTCCATAAAAAAAGGATTTGTTGTAGACTCAGGTGAGAGCATTATGACAAACATGTATTGTGTCTGAATTAATGTATTATAGTTAATAGAAGTCTATATATATGATAATATCCCTCCATTTAGGAAACTGTTCATCACAGTGATTTTTTTTTTACAGTGTTACTGTACGTATTGTCACAAGATTACAAGATGAAACCCATTATACTCAGCAAGGCCGACCGAGATGCAGTATGTGGGCCATAAATTATAGCAAAACACAAATACTTGGGAATTATTGTTTATTCAACTCTAGTTTTACAAAATCTAATACAATATGTTACTAACATAATAGTTATTCAGATACCACTTAACTAGAGCTGATTTTATTTGATTTTTTCTTTTTATACAAGTGTGTAGGTGTGTATTAGCTCTCAGATGTGTGACATCAACGGATGCAAACAAAGCTTAAATGGCAGCTTTAGGTGGGGGTTTATTTCCTTTAGGCTCACATTAGCCCGAGAAGCAGATTAGACTGTGTGCAATAATTTGTCAGGGCTCGGTTTCAAGAAGCCACCATTAAACATGTCTCTTAGCCAGTGCACTTTAAAACAATAATTATTTAATCACCTTACAAACTCAAGTAATACTGATGTGTTAATTTTCTTTCATTAAGTAAAAAGGCAAATTGTAATGGAGTTAAAGTCTTGTAGTGTATGTGAAAATGTGGCAGCCTGTGTGAGAATGTCATGTTACTTTTTCATAAATTAAAGTGGCATAAGGTGTTCAAGACAGTTTTCAAGTTTAAATTTGGTGGATTCACTAAGAAAGTGTGAAAAATAACCTGCATCTTTATTATTTCTTGAGCAGGATAGCCCTCTATTTGTCTTTTTCTAGAACACATTATGTTAAAACTATAGGGGCCGGCTGTTAAAACAACAGATTATTATTAAAGATGAGCTACAAGAATCATCATTTTGTTATTATTGATGCAAAATAAAAGACAATATCTACAGTTTCAGATTATAGAAGGCACAGTGAGTTTCAGTGACTTTGCCTTCGCTGTTCCTGTGAAATTCTTAAAGGTTTGTGTGTCTGACAAAGCACACATCTCAGGAAACGCCAAGATCATTTTTGTGTATCGCCTGCACGGAAGTGGAGGGGAATAAAGTGAAGGCATCTAGGCCAGGGATCTGTGCCAAGCCACAGCTCTCGATGCATCTAATCTTACTAAAACTGGGTCAGGGCCTGAGCAGACTGCCCTTAAATAGACAAGGGTCAAATCTAGTACCAACATAGAAACTGCCCTACAGTTAATGACAGCGTTACTGCAGGCATACTTACAGAAGTGGGTTTAAAACGCAAATGACGCAAGTTAAATTCTTCCGGGCCAGACAGGTAATTCTGGACAGGTGTTCCTTTTCTGCTTAAGTTAAAGTCTACTGTTCAGTACAGTGCAACCACAAGGTGTTTTATGCCACCACTCATATTGTAAAAAAGTGATGATGAAGTACTGTACAAGCACAAAGAAAAAATAAATAACACCAGATGGATAACATGATCAGGTGTGAATCGCTTTCCTTTGCTAACAGCTTACTGTAATATGGTAATTCTGACATGCTGCTGATCTTTAAGGAAAGCTTTACTGAAAGCCACCTACTTCTCTGTCTACCCTTCAACCTTTTAAGACACTCTTCTTATGGTAGGTGGATGCACTTGCTTGGGCTTTGGGCTTCTTCGAGAAGGCAAAGTGAGGATACAGAGATATGGGATGCATTCAAAAATCTAAAAATATTCATACAATTTATATATTAAATACATGTAAAGGTAAAAATGACTATGCAGCTGAAGAGTAATGTAACATATTACAATTTTAAATCTAATCGCTTGCTAATGAATGGTATTTTACTGTATATTTAAATAGCAGACAAAATGCTTTGTTGTGACTACACAGCACAGTAAGTGTTGTACTTTCGGTCACTGACGGTCTTACATATAATGTGCGTTCTACAGGATTCAGTGCGACAATGACTTCACCATAAGAAAGGCTGAGGGCAAATCTAAGAGTGGCATTGAGAGATAAACACACACTTCCAGATGTAAGTTCATTGTGCAGTGCTGAGGAAACATTATGTATCATCAGGAGACACGTCTCACTGTAACTGTGAATGTGTTAATATTTGATATGTTCTTTCACAGAATGGGAGTGAGAGGACCTCTGGTGGGTGAAAATGAGGAAGAGGAGAAGACCAATGAGTCAGGCCACAAGAAACTTCAAAACATTAATGTGGAAACACTGAGAACAAAAGCACAGGCCACAGTGACAGAGAAAAGGCAACCACGAGGAAGCTCCAGAGCAGCTTGGCTCGGTATTGTTAATTTATGATTATAAAGTTGAACCTTTTCTCTGTTTGTGACCTGACATATAAATCTAGACTTCATCAAACTGATATCAGGTGCGACACCACACCCAGACCAATTAGCATTAAGCCCACCTACCACATTACATTACAAAACACACATATTTGTACACTCTGTAAAACTGCCAAATCCCGCTGCAATTATATCTAATAAGTGGTTAAATCAGTTTAATGTCCTTCCAAAGTAAAATTTTATTAACAATCTTAGATAAAACTATCATGAACTAGCATCTACAACTGTTAAAGATGTGACAGTCGGCTTTTCCTTCAGCTTGAACTGATCACGTGTTCGTTCTCAGCCTTTTACCCTCCCTTTCCATCTTCTTCATGTCACCTGCTGCTTACCATCCCCCTTTCCCCTGTAAGCTGACACAGCGCCTTTAAACATTAGCTGCTTTATTCCTAATAGGATCTCAGGGACTTAAATTGCCTTCTGATAAAACTAAGGAGCTTGATAGCTATGCTGCACCCTCTTAACCAATTGGTACTCAATTAGGATAATGGGGAAACAAGCAAAGAGGGAAAGCTTTAATATATTAATGTGATAAAATGATTAGCAGTTTTCTTTGTCTATGACTTGGGTCATATTAGGGTCATCTAGCAAGTGTCATATAAATATTCATAATTAATGAAGTGGCCCAAACATAAAAGGACATCAGAAATATCTGAATTACATCTGAATAGAAAACCAAAACTACCAGTTATTTCAAAACTACATACATATCATAAAACACCCCAAAGGCCTGGCTTATTTTATTGTCATCATATAGCAGCAACCTACAATACAAATTTGTTATTTCATTCCTTCAGTCAAAAGAAATAGGCTCTGCAGTCTCTCCTTTACCCTGACAACCAAGAAAAGGTGTTTAGCCAAAACCACTTACTGTAGGACACAGCCATTCTTCTCATAAAAACCACTGGCAAGACAGATGTCTTTAATGAAAGTCCTCAGCTGCTTAGTCATATGTCAGTCATGAAAACAAGTGCAACATTTCTGTGCGTATGCATCGATGGAAGACCCTCGCTGTGGTCTTTGATACATGTGAAAGGGTAATTCAAAAGGTTTTTCTACCATCTTCACATACAATATTCAATGCTATACCTTTAAAAGGATAATAGCATAATATAATAAAATTCAGCACGCTCTTAGTGTGACTTAGTTGAAGCTTAAGACTTCATGAAAACTTGTCTTTTAAGACACTTTGCATTTTTGAAACATTTGTTTTCTTAAACTACATACACACAACATGCGCAAAGCCAAACTGATGTTAACCCTGTCCTTTTCTTTCTTTGTTCTCTGTTTGTGCAAAATAACACTGAGAGGTCGAGAGGTCCTTCATACCTGGGTGTGTGAAATGATTACTCACAGTTCTTTTAACCTTTACTAGGGTAGAAAAGCTGAAGTAACAACAGAAGAACTTTAAGTGGAACACTGTCATGTCAGGGGCTAGAATACCTCAGAGACACCATGCCCTGTCTAATTTATCAGACAATATGTAAAAATATTACTTAATACACCTTTAAACTTATTGCTTGTTTGATTTCTTGTTGGCCCCTCTGGTACAGACTTAAAACATCTATTATTATTGTACAGTACATCTTATTTGCCGTGTACTATTTATTTATTTATTTATTCGGTATAATGAGACAACATTCCTTAAATAGGAAATAACCATAACACTGCTTATTCCTTTTTCACAAAACAATGTAACATAATCAAATTAGCTTTGAACCATAAATGATTCACTTCTTTGTTTTATTTCAATGTATTATTTAAGTTTGCCATTCCAAACGTATTAGTACTCATAAAGACTTAAGTGCATACTTGAAACTATTTAATAACAAGTCTTTGCTGTGTATAGCCATTCAAGTCCATTTCTGTCTGTCCCCCTAACATTTTCTATAATGAAGGGATTAGTGAAAACACCCAGTACAAGTCATTATCTTTCAGACAATAGATTTTCTCAAAGAAAGTTTTGTTGACGCTTTATTAGCAATGGCCTCCCTCTGTGGTCTGAATGCAGGAGACATTTGGAGCAATTACTTGACCAGAAAACAACTGTCAGTCATTCTTAAAGGGGAAGGATTCCAATTAATAAACCTCTTAAACCCTTTAGTTTTACTACCATTACCCTACAAGCTTTAGTGTCTTGTGTGGTTAAGGAGAGTTTGTCAGAACAGAGACATTACATGTGCTTGCTCTCTTGTGTGCAGGGGATTTTAAGGACTTAACAGCGAGTCCCTACAATAGATGTGTTAGTGTCAGTCGTCTACTTATGGACCACAGAGGCACCATGTGCATAGCATAACCTGTGGTAGGAACCTGAAGAAAGGTAAGATTACTTTATGCACTTCTTTATTGTGCATTTTGTTAATTATGACATCGATTGATGCACAGTATGAGTATCCATAATGCATCAGTAAGAGAAGCATTGTCCAAGAGTAGCTTCATTAATAGTGTCTATGAAGGTTCTTGTGGTGGAAAAACATGAAGGTGTATTTGTTATGCCTTTTTTCTTTTCTCTCATTCTTTTGGCCTAACGCTTGACATAAATCTGCCCCTTGTGCACGTGAAGCAGAACAACAGTTCTGTGCAACAGCTGCTTTACCTTATTTCACTTGATACTGTTTTGATTTTTTTCTGACACAGAAGAGCGGAGGTGTCTCCAAAGGCTCGGATGCATTTGTCAATGGATACCCTGGGAATAATGGACGATAGTTGCATGGACAACTATGACATGGCAAAAGGTGCTGGGTTGAGCAGTGGAGGCAGGGTCCACAGTATCAATGTCATACTGGGGTTCACTAAAGACCAGGACTCTTTACTCCCTTCAGTAGGAAATGATGACAGCCAGAAAGACAATGGAGAGAACCAACAGCACCGTGACAAGCAGGTCCCTTCAGACCCCTATGGACACATTCCAGAACTGGGTTACCGCTCCCAGCAGTCTTCCTATCACAGTGAGTTTTTTCATCAGATAAACTATTGTTGGGTGCACAAATTCTCCGATACACTTCCCCAGGATCGTAATAAATTTAGGAGACATTATCTTTAACCGTGAAACAAGTGGAATTAGATCTCCACTATGTCACAATTTCATACCCAACACAACTGACTGAACAGTGTGTGCATAAAAAAATCACATAAGATTTGACTGTTAATTACTCCGAGAAATGCTTGGCCCAATTTTTATGCTGTCAAAATCTTTGAACAATGTAAAGTGAATAAATATCAAACAAGTTGTAGTTGGAAAATCAAAAGGAGCTTTTTGGTGTCATCTCCCAAATATTCACTTATATGTCATAATGTAATTAATTTAAGTAGTACTATAGGTAGGGTAATGCACAAAACTGGTTGTCTCTAAACTGATGGACTCCTTGGCTGAGAGGTTAGCCTTTGTGGTTTAAAATAGATAGTAGTCCTACATCTTTAAAGATCCTTGATGGCTCTTTTAGCTGGTGCTGTCCTCACATCCTTGACTTACTGTAACTTTGCCAAATAAGATTAGTCAAGATGGTAGTGTTGCCAAAATGTAAGGCCTGATTACTGGTTTCATAGACTACAGTACCAGTTGCACATGAGTTCATTGTTTAAAGCATTATATTAATTTTGATAGGTGTTAACAGATACCATGAAGAGTGCTATTTACAGTAAGTTCAGCTTCAACAGATACCATGAAGAGTGCTATTTACATTAAGTTCAGCTTTGTTTCTGCCGTTCACAGTGAGAAAAAGCAGCTACACAATATATTATTCTTTGTCCTAACATGATTAATGAAATTAGAAAACTGGAATCTTACTAAATCCTCTCTATTCTAGAATCTGACCTTTACTCCGTTGACAGCTTTGATGGAGAAACAAGTGAAATGCAGAAGGAAGTGGATACTGCTGAGACGTCTCTAGACACCATAAAAGAAGAAGAGCACACTAAAAAGAAACACAGAAGAAACCGTACCACTTTTACCACATATCAACTTCATGAGCTGGAACGGGCCTTTGAAAAGTCCCACTACCCAGATGTGTACAGCCGCGAAGAGTTGGCAATGAAGCTCAACTTGCCTGAGGTTCGAGTTCAGGTAAAGGCTACGTGATATCTTAACAATCCAACATACCCCATTTAATTCTCACATAATTTCTTTTTTGCACCCAGAATCGTCCATTTTAAAAACACATAAAGTTTAACAACACCTTTCATAAAGCTACTGCTCAAACCTCCAAATTCATGTTTCTAGACCGCTGGTCCAACCTCTGAATCCACTTTAATACAGGTACTAACTCTGAATGGTAACTAAGGCAGACACATATCATTGACTCCAGGGACATATTAAGGCTGAAAACTGTTTTAAATGGAAGTTGTGGACACCAAAGTGAATCTGAATGTTTCTGACTTCTGCTCTACCTAGACAGCCAGATAGGTTTTTTTTTTTTTATAGCATGCGGTGGTAGAAGTAGTACTCATACTGTTTACTTAAGTAGCAACACAAGAGTGGAAAAATACTCTGTTACAAGTAATAGTCCTGTATTCAAATTGTTACTTAAGTACAGTGCTTGAGTAAATGTACTTAGTTACTTTTCACCTCTGATAGCAGGATTCTTGCTCCACCTCCATCCAGGTGTGGTTCCAGAACCGAAGGGCCAAATGGAGACGTCAAGAAAAGATGGACACTAGCACCATGAAGCTCCATGATTCCACCATGCTATCCTTCAGTCGCCCTCCTTTACCTCCCAGCGTGGGTCCAGTGGCCAACCCAATGCCTCTGGATCCCTGGCTCACCTCGCCCATCTCCAGTGCCACGTCCATCCATGCAATCCCAGGGTTCATAGGCTCACCACAGGGCCTGCAGCCTTCCTATCCAAGCCACAGCTTCCTCAACACCCCACCTGGTATGGTCCAAGGTATGCTGCCCATGGGCCCGCCTCCCTACCAGTGCCCTCCCAGTTTTAGTGATAAATACCCGATGGAGGATGACAGGAGTTCCAGCATTGCAGCCCTCAGGATGAAGGCCAAAGAGCATATTCAGTCAGTGGATAAAACCTGGCAGCACATGTGATCTGATGGACAGATTTTTGAGCTGCTCCTCTGAATGTTTACAAACTGCTTTTCTGCTCGTTTCATGAAGGAAGAGGATATATGACATCCAAAGAAATTCTAATGTCAGATAGAGGCACTTCTTGTGATTTAAAAAAAAAAAAAAAGTTCATGTGGAATGATCAATTTTTTTAGTCCAGTGAAAAAACCGATCAAACCTCTGTTGGTCACGTGTTTTGAAATAAACTTTAGTATGTGAGAGGCAAGTTAGAACAATGTGGCCATTAGTTTTTGTATTCTAAATTGTTACTTCATGACAAACTTATACAGGTTACTCTATAAACTTATACTTGTTTGTATTCTGACTTTTTTGGAAATATGATACTTTATAAAAACTCAATATTAAGTGTACAATTTTCCTATTTTCTTCAAGTTATATCTTCATGAAGATATGTTTCATTATGTTTTGCTATTGTTTAAGGATGTTTGCTGGTTTCTAGTTCTTTAGAAATAGACAGTTTTTGTATAAAACTTAAATTACATCATTAAAACTGTCTTTTTGGACAGTACTGAATCCTGATGGGGGAGGTCATTGGAAATTACAGTTTAATCAGGCTCAGAAGCTAATTTAAACAGACAAGCATACCCCTCAACACCTAATCACTGCTTAACCAAGCGATTAACCTCAGATTCTCAGCCAGAGACAGAATGCCCTTAAATGCCCCTGAAAACCCCTTTTCAAGACCCGATTAACCTTGCCCCTCCCCTCAAACTTGCCCATTTATGTTATTTCAAAATTACTACTTAAATTCATTTCTGAAGGGAACCAGTAAAGGGAAGCCAGTGCAGGTGAGATATGCTCATAATTATATGAATTTGTCAGTTATGAGCAGCAGCATTTTGAACCAACTGGAGAGATGAAAGAAGCGATTTACTGACTCCAGAATACCGTGAATGACAGTAGTCAAGCCTAGAACTAACAAACACCCGCACTGCAATTTCAAAATCGTTTAATGGGAAAAAAGGCCTCATTTTACTCAACAATCGCAATTGGAAAAAACTGGACTTCATAACAGCGTTAATCTGCTTCTCAAACTGTAAGTCACTGTCAAACAACACCTCAAGATCACCACAGGTTTAACTTATGATGACAGAGGTCCACGGCTCAGAGTACAATGGCACAGCCAGCCATTGAAGAGGGGTGCTCCAGCACTAACCCTAACCAGAACCACTACTTTCCTAACCGTAACCAAAGTTGATGCTTGTTCTAATCTTACCTTACACCCCTCTGTTTATGTAAAATTTGATGAACTATGTCATGGAGACCACCCTCTGGTCCCCATTAAGTGATCTTCGGTGCCTGCAAAGATAAGAACTCACTGATTTCAGGCTGCACAACTATAAAAAAACAAGGCCCCCTCACACACACTACAGTCTCTCAGAATCCCCTTGGAGCCAATGTAACACCTGTATAATATTAAATATTAAAAAATATAATACAAATTTATGTGCAATAATTTATCAGCACTTTTCTCATTATGTGAAATTGACTTTTTTTCACTTCATGCATTGGCAATGAGTGTATGATAAAAATGCTGGCATATTATGGTGTTTAAAGTGTGATGAATATGAGGATTTATTTATCTATTATCTGTTTTAATACACTTATTTATCTTTTTTTATTTGAACCCACTTCTTGAGTGCACCTGAGTTTCATTGTATTTTTGTACAAGGACAAAGAATCTGATCTTAGTTTATCTTATAATATAACCAATAAAATATCCCTCATAGATGTAGTATTTATTGCAGGGCTGCTGTATTACATTGTATTTTTGTCTGTGTTTAGGTTATTGTGTCCACATTCTGTTGGTGACAAAACCCATTATTGTGTAATAAACACAAAGGTAATATCACATCACCTTAAGTTTGCTTACATGACATTAGGATATTACTTTTCACTATGAATACTGCAATTTTTGTCACAGTAATTAAAATCACAGAGTTGCACCGGTGAACTGCGCACTTGTATTTATACTGTATCACAAACGGGTCCTTTTATAAGATCTTAGATTCCTTTTTTTATGCACACACTGTATAAATAACCAGTTTATGATACTGACTGAAAGCGCTGCAATAATATATTTTTCTCGTGTTTTAAGGTATTAATATTGGCCTTGTACTGGTCAATATTATCATAATGAATCATTTGGTACTCTCATCAAACCTCTATTAAAAGCTGCCCACTTAGACAAATTTACAGAATCTGAACTGTAAACTCAGACAGCTTACCTTTCAATGTTACCTGCAAGGATTTAATTCATTCAAATTTATTCAACAAATATGCTTAAAACCAAAATAAATATATGAATAAAACTGTAAAAAGCCATCACAGTAAACTTACAGTAAGACAAGTTATAATACAGTGGCACCTTCGAAGGCTGCAGGACTGTTATGATTGTGTTGTTCCTCATCCCCTCAGCAGATGTCCCCCTCCTATCATCTTTCAAGGCTCAGAAAAGAGGCAGATATACATCATCCAATGTTTATACCGTAGATACATTTATATAGCATCATTTTTTCTTTACAATGGAACTGATCTGTTATACACGATGGGCAAAAAAAGCACACAATACAGTCAATAAACCAAACTTATAGAACATATGATTGTCACTTACTGGTAGTCACAAAAAAAATACCGTAAATAAATAATCTACAGAAATATGTACAATATGCACAACAAGAATTGAATGGAAGTGCAAATAAAGCTTTGGATTCCTGTACAGGAAATAAGGTGAGCAGATGTAGACTGAGCCAGCTGTCCCCAACATACAGTATGAAGCAATAATCATCTAGAAGTCATAAATTTACAGGACATTTATTAACATTTAGGCTTTGAGCTCCTGCATTTAATGACTTTTAATAATGAGCTGAGCAAAAAACAGAAAACGCAAAAAATAAAATGAACACAAATTATTTACAGTGATTTGCATTCCACAGAAAACTGGAGAGTATTTAATGCTTGTTATCCGGTGAGGATCAAGGCAACAAGCACGGGATTACGGCTGAGAGAGATAGAAACGGAGAGAAGGAGGGATCCAGAGAGGAGGTGACTCACTGCAGAGCAAAAGAAAACTCATTGTGCTCCTGCTGGCTTCCTTGAAAACAGGCTGCGATATTTAACACTGTACAACTCTGCTACCTTTTCCCATCTACACCAACTGAAGACCAGAAGAACAAGTAGAAGAAAAAAGAAGTGAGCTGGTCAAAAGAGCTGCATGTACGGTTGTGTGTGTACAGTACCTCGCTCCAGATTAATAACACTCACATTTAGCACAATGCACACACGTGAACTGCTGTTGACTGTAATGTCCCCAGCTTTAAGTCTCTGGTGGGTACATAAACGCTGAGTTACCAGAGTTCAAATACTCCAGTGCCACTTCATAGCAAAACTTGTATTGGTCCTAGGAGACAAGAAAGAACAGAAAAAACATTAGAAAGATGTACATGGCAGGATCAACCTGCCTGGGGATAAAACAAGAGAAGCACCTCCCCTGCTCCCCATTGTACACTGATCACCCATTACATGTGACCACTGAAGTGATTAAAATGAACTGGTCTAAAAATATTCTCTCTAATTTATCATCACAACCATGGTTTTCGCTCCTTTTACATATGTTTTTTCACTGAGTGGTAGAACATCTGTGCTCGTACTGACAGTAGGACTATGGAAGCACAGAAGATGCACAGTGAGCTGCAGGGTGACAAGTGCCAACCAACTGGTCATAATGTTATGGCTGATCAGTGGATACAGTATTCACACCCTTCAGTGCTCTCTGGCCCCAGGTTTGCAGCACACAGGGTCCTAAAACTGGGCCAACCTTAAGGCCCTCGTCATGTCAAGTGATATTGTGCTTTAGTAGTGCATATTTTCATATGACCAGTGTTACACTTGAATAAACGACAGCAAAACATTTGCCTGACAGTGAAGCTGGGTTTTCTCTTGGTGATTCAAACCTGGAAATGTACATCTTACTAATATAATTAGCATAACAAAAAGGCAAATTCTGAAAACTTGGCTCATTTAAAAAATGCCTTGATTGAATAGATTTAGAAGAAAATCATAATTAATGCCTCATTTACAGTAGTCTACTAGAACACTCTGTACAACAAATGGTCTTTATCAATATAAAGTTATACTGTAGAATATAAAGAGAATCACATCCTGAAGCCACACATATTTTTCAGAAAGGATAGCTTTACACTTTGTACAGAGCACAACAAAGCGCTGGAAGTTACAAATCCGGTATATTTTTAGACCAGTCTGATAAAAGTGTCAAACTGCTGAAAGGACTCCTCACCAGTAGATCCACCATGTTGGGTTTATTGTTCCTCAGTGTTTTGACAGCATGGAAAACATCCACAGAGCGCTGGTGCTGAAGCATCTCACACACGATGCTGATGGCACAGAACGTCCCACTGCGGCCGCCTCCATTCCTAGAGTTGTAACAGAAGAACAGTGGGTGAATGAAATACAGTTTAAGCTGCATTAAAATAATACTTAGTTTGATGTAGAAAGATTAGGGCTGATAGTAAAGCTCAGAGGACTGAAGAGGTTCAGTTGTTTAGGTGCAGTAAAGCTCTTCAGTCAGTAGATGGAGATGTTTCATTGTTAAAGCCAGCAATGCCTGAACTTCCTCCTGCCCTGAATGTTGTGGAAACTTACAGACAGTGAACCACAGTGCGTCCCTCGCCCCCCTCGTACTCCTCCTGCCACTTATCCACCTGTCGAATCAGCTTGAGGAAGGAGCGTTTGGACATGGGCGTGTCTCTGTACATGGGCCAGCCTAGGAACTGGAACTGCTGCACCATACGGTAGCCGTCCTGAGGCTGGAGGGGAAGGACACACTGGTTATCCCACGTTAATACACACAGGGGGCGTTAATCGCTACTGTGCACAGATGCAATCAGTCTGTAAAGAAGTAGGGCTAAGCTAAGCTTCAAATGGGACAAGTAGGACAAGAG